GGCCCCGCCCCGCCCATCCTGTTAGCCCCGCCCAGCCCTGCTGGCCCCGCCCAGCCCCTCAGGCCCCGCCCCTCACCATCATCATCTCGGCCCCGCCCAGCGCGGCGGCGGCGCCGGTGAAGGCGGCGCTCAGGAAGCCGCAGAGCCCCACGGCGCCCCCGGCCTCGGGGCCCAGCGCGCCCGACAGCAGCGACAGCGCCCCGCCCCCTGTGCAGAGGGGCGGGGTCAGCGCGGCCACGCCCCCAGCAGCGACAGCGCCCCGCCCCCTGGGACGGCAGGGGCGGGGTCAGCACGGCCACGCCCACAGCAGCGACAGCGCCCCGCCCCCTTTGAGGCACAGGGCGGAGTCAGCGTGGCCACGCCCACAGCCCCGCCCCCTGTGAGGCACAGGGCGGGGTCAGCGCGGCCACGCCCACCCACAGCAGCGACAGTGCCCCGCCCCCTGCGACATCAGGGGCGGGGTCAGCGCGGCCACGCCCACCCACAGCAGCGACAGTGCCCCGCCCCCCCTTCAGAGGGGCGGGGTCAGCGCGGCCACGCCCACAGCAGCGGCAGCACCCCGCCCCCTGTGACATCAGGGGCGGGGTCAGCGCGGCCGCGCCCACCCACAGCAGCGACAGCGCCCCGCCCCCTGCGCCGGTACAGGGCGGGGTCAGCGCGGCCACGCCCCCGTGGCCTTGCCATAAATGGCAGCAGGAGCTTGGGGAGGCACCGTGGGTGGGCGGGGCCAGGAAGGGGCGTGGCTTAATGCAGAACATTAGTTGGGTGGGGCTAATTAGGGGTGGGGCTGGGGTGGGCGTGGCCTCACCACAGTGCCATGGCACTAAGGAGGTGTGGCTAATTAGGGGGCGTGGCCTCACATTGGAGTACTGGGCGCGGAGTGGGCGTGGCTAATGAAGGGTGGGGCTACAGGGGGCGTGGCCTCACCTCAAACAGCGCCAGGGGCCGCTCCCCCCCCACCCCGCCCGGGTTGGGAGGGGCGGGGCGAGCCCGGGCCCCGCCCCCCGGGCCCCGCCCCCGCGGGGTGGGCGTGGTCTCGGTGGGGGAGGGGCTGGAGTCGGAGAGGGGGGGCCGGGAGCTGGAGGGGGAGGGGGGCTCGGGGCTGCTGTCCGAGGGCTCCGCCCCCCGCGCCGGCCACGCCCCCGGCACCGCCATGACGTCAGCAGCGAGACGGTGACGTCAGCGGGGCGGCGATGACGTCACCATGGCGGCGCCTGCGGGAGGAAATCCGGGGATCCAGAGGGAAAGGAGAAATTTTCCAGGGGAAATTCACCTTTTTTTGAGGGGTTTTTGGGGAAAATGAAGAATTTTCTGAGGAAAATTCACATTTTTTAAGAGAAAATTCCCATTATTTGAGAGGCAAATGCTGGGTTTGGGGGAAAATCCGGTTTTTTTGGAGGAAAATTACACATTTATAGAGGAAAACCAGCAATTTTGGAGGGAAAATTCACGTTTAGAGAGGAAAACAACACATTTTAAAATAAAACTGTTTTGGAGGAAAATTACACATTTATAGAGGAAAACCAGCAATTTTGGAGGGAAAATTCACGTTTAGAGAGGAAAACAACACATTTTAAAATAAAACTGACAGTTTTGAAGGGGGAAAAAATTCTAGACAAAAAAAAATAGAGGAAATATTCTCAATTTAGAGAGAAATATACAAATTTTGAGGGGAAAATCAATATTTTTAGCAGAAATGTCCACTTTTTTGGAGGGAAATATTGAAATTTTTAGAGGGAATATCAGAAGTATCAGAGGAAAAATCCCTATTTTGGAAAAATCAGTATTTTTACAGGGAAAAATGGGAATTTTTGGGACAAAATAGAGATTTTTGGCCATGCCAAGAAGTGTTTGAGGAGGAAAGATGAATTTCAGAGATTAATTTTATGGCAATAGAGAGAATTTTGGCAGGAAAAAGGGAGATGTGGGAATTGTGGGGGCAAATCACAGTTTTGGGGGAAAAATTGATGTTTTTCTATTGGAAAAGGTATTTTTGGAAGGGAAAACTAGTTTTGGAAAAGAAAATATTCTTTTTTTTTTCAGGAATTAAAAGAGGTTTGGGTTGGAATCGGGAATTTCCATGGGAAAGGAGATATTTTGGGGCAAAATAGGCATTTTTTGGGGCAAAGTTGTGTTGTTTTGAGAGAAAATTTAAAAATACATCAAAATTTATAAAATATAAAATTGCATATAGAGGAAAGATTTAAAGAGCAGATCTTGGTGAGGATGGAGAAACTCCGAGAGGGAAAAAAGCAAATTTATGGCAAAAATTGAGGGGACTCTGGGTAGAAAAAGTCCAATTTTGGGGCAGAAATGTTTATTTTGGGACCAAAATCATTATTTTGGAGTTTTCTGAGAGGGAAAAAGGCATTGGAGGGGCAAAAATTGAAAATTCTGGAAGGGGGCAATGAATGTTGGGGAAAATACTCAGCTGGATGGGAAAAATGGGGAATTTGGGGGGAAAAATGGGGAATTTGGGGGGAAAATGGAGAATGTGGCTAATTAGGGGGCGTGGCCTCACATTGGAGTACTGGGCGCGGAGTGGGCGTGGCTAATGAAGGGTGGGGCTACAGGGGGCGTGGCCTCACCTCAAACAGCGCCAGGGGCCGCTCCCCCCCCACCCCGCCCGGGTTGGGAGGGGCGGGGCGAGCCCGGGCCCCGCCCCCCGGGCCCCGCCCCCGCGGGGTGGGCGTGGTCTCGGTGGGGGAGGGGCTGGAGTCGGAGAGGGGGGGCCGGGAGCTGGAGGGGGAGGGGGGCTCGGGGCTGCTGTCCGAGGGCTCCGCCCCCCGCGCCGGCCACGCCCCCGGCACCGCCATGACGTCAGCAGCGAGACGGTGACGTCAGCGGGGCGGCGATGACGTCACCATGGCGGCGCCTGCGGGAGGAAATCCGGGGATCCAGAGGGAAAGGAGAAATCTTCCAGGGGAAATTCACCTTTTTTTGAGGGGTTTTTGGGGAAAATGAAGAATTTTCTGAGGAAAATTCACATTTTTTAAGAGAAAATTCCCATTATTTGAGAGGCAAATGCTGGGTTTGGGGGAAAATCCGGTTTTTTTGGAGGAAAATTACACATTTATAGAGGAAAACCAGCAATTTTGGAGGGAAAATTCACGTTTAGAGAGGAAAACAACACATTTTAAAATAAAACTGACAGTTTTGAAGGGGGAAAAAATTCTAGACAAAAAAAAATAGAGGAAATATTCTCAATTTAGAGAGAAATATACAAATTTTGAGGGGAAAATCAATATTTTTAGCAGAAATGTCCACTTTTTTGGAGGGAAATATTGAAATTTTTAGAGGGAATATCAGAAGTATCAGAGGAAAAATCCCTATTTTGGAAAAATCAGTATTTTTACAGGGAAAAATGGGAATTTTGGGGACAAAATAGAGATTTTTGGCCATGCCAAGAAGTGTTTGAGGAGGAAAGATGAATTTCAGAGATTAATTTTATGGGAGTAGAGAGAATTTTGGCAGGAAAAAGGGAGATGTGGGAATTGTGGAGGCAAATCACAGTTTTGGGGAAAAAATTGATATTTTTCTATTGGAAAAGGTATTTTTGGAAAGGAAAACTAGTTTTGGAAAAGAAAATATTCTTTTTTTTTTCAGGAATTAAAAGAGGTTTGGGTTGGAATCGGGAATTTCCATGGGAAAGGAGATATTTTGGGGCAAAATAGGCATTTTTTGGGGCAAAGTTGTGTTGTTTTGAGAGAAAATTTAAAAATACATCAAAATTTATAAAATATAAAATTGCATATAGAGGAAAGATTTAAAGAGCAGATCTTGGTGAGGATGGAGAAACTCCGAGAGGGAAAAAAGCAAATTTATGGCAAAAATTGAGGGGGCTCTGGGTAGAAAAAGTCCAATTTGGGGCAGAAATGTTTATTTTGGGACCAAAGTCATTATTTTGGAGTTTTTTGAGAGGGAAAAAGGCATTGGAGGGGCAAAAATTGAAAATTCTGGAAGGGGGCAATGAATGTTGGGGAAAATACTCAGCTGGATGGGAAAAATGGGGAATTTGGGGGGAAAATGGAGAATTTGGGGGGAAAATGGGGAATTTTGGGGGGCAGATGGGGAATTTTGAGAGAAAAATCGGGAAATTTAAGGGAATAATGGGGAATCTTGAGGGGAAAATAGGGAATTTTGAGGGGAAAATTGGGAATCTTGAGGGGAATTTGGAAATTTTTTGGGGAAATGGCCAATTGTGTGGAGAAAATTGGCAATTTTGAGGAGAAACTGGGCGATTTTGAGGGGAAAATGGGCAATTTGGGGGAGAAAATGAGCAATTTTGGGGGAAATGGGGACTTTTGAAGGGAAATTGGCAATTTTGAGGGCAATGCCCCCACTAAAATCCCCATTTGGAGCCACCCCTCCTTTCTGAGGGCCAAACTCCTCATTTTTGGGTCAAAATCCATTTTTTTGAAACAAATCTCCTCATTTTGAACCAACCCCCGAATTTTTGAGGCAAAACAGCCTCTTTTGAGGGCCAAATCCCCCTTTTAGAGACCAAACCCCAGCTTCTAAACCCAAATTCCCCTTTTTTGGTGTCAAACCCCCATTTTTGGGATAAAATCCCCCATTTTTGAGGCCACCCCTCCCTCATGGCCCAAATTCCCACTTTTAGGAGCCAAATCTGCCTTTTTAGAGATAAACTCCCTCTTTTGGGGGCCAAATTCCCTCTTTTCAGGACCAAATTCCCTATTTTTGAGGTAAAAGTCCCTATTTCTGGGGTAAAAATCCCTATTTTTGAGGTAAAAATCCCTATTTTTGGAGCCAAAATCCCACATTTAGTGCCAAACCCCACCTTTTTGGGGTCCAAACTCCTTTTTTAAAATTCAAATTTCCCCTTTTTGGGACCAAACTCCCCCTTTGGTCACAGCCCTTCCACTTTCCGGGCGATTTTCCCCGGTTTTGGGTAAAATCCCCCCATTTTTCAGACCCAACCCCCATTTCTGGAGCGACCCCGCCCTTCTGGGGGGGCCCAAATTCACTTTTCCAGCTGCCCCCCCCCACCCTTTTTGGGACCAAACTCCCCATTTTTGGGGCCAAATCCTTCCCTTCTCTGGGTCCACCTCCCCTCCTCCCTCAGCCCCTCAATCCGGCCCCGTTTTGGGTTAAAATTCCCCAATTTTGGGGCTCCCCCCCCCACTCCGATCCCGCCGGTACCTGAGGGGGGGCGCGGGGGCGGGGCCAGCGCGCGCTGCCCTGGCCACGCCCCCTCGCGCGCGCTGCCGCAGGGGCGTGGCGACGCAGAGGGCGTGTCCAATGAAGGGGCGTGGTTTGCTGTAAGGGGCGTGGTCTCAACACGGCTTTGCGCGTGTGGGGGCGTGGTTCTGTGTCCAAAGAGGCGTGGCTTGATGAAAGGGGCGTGGCTTTGTGACTCCTCCCCCCGGTACCCCGAAACCCAAAGGTGAGACCACCCAGATCCCCCCGGATTTAAACGAAAAACAAAAAAAATCAAAGGGAAAAATCCATAATTTTAGTGGAAAACCAATATTTTTGCAGGGAAAGTGGGAAATTTTGGGGTAAAATCCATGCTTTCAGTGGAAAACCAGTATTTTTGCAGGGAAAATGGGAATTTTTGGGGTAAAATCCATGCTTTCAGTGGAAAACCAGTATTTTTGTGGGGAAAATGGGAATTTTTGGGGTAAAATCCATGCTTTCAGTGGAAAACCAGTATTTTTGCAGGGAAAATGGGAATTTTTGGGGTAAAATCCATGCTTTCAGTGGAAAAGGAATCTTGAGGGGAAAATGGGGAATTTTGAGGGGAAAATTGGGAATCTTGAGGGGAATTTGGAAATTTTTTGGGGAAATGGCCGATTCTGGGGAGAAAATTGGCAATTTTGAGGAGAAACTGGGCGATTTTGAGGGGAAAATGGGCAATTTGGGGGAGAAAATGAGCAATTTTGGGGGAAATGGGGACTTTTGAAGGGAAATTGGCAATTTTGAGGGCAATGCCCCCACTAAAATCCCCATTTGGAGCCACCCCTCCTTTCTGAGGGCCAAACTCCTCATTTTTGGGTCAAAATCCATTTTTTTGAAACAAATCTCCTCATTTTGAACCAACCCCCGAATTTTTGAGGCAAAACAGCCTCTTTTGAGGGCCAAATCCCCCTTTTAGAGACCAAACCCCAGCTTCTAAACCCAAATTCCCCTTT